CTCTCTCTCTCTCTCTCTCTCTCTCTCTCTCTCTCTCTCTGCTTTTAAAGCTATCACAAATCAATCACTCTCAGTAAAAATTGGCCTTCCTACAAAGAAGAACAGATTTCTTGTGAGAAATATGAAGTTCTGAAGCCATCTTTGAGATTAGTCATCAACACAACACTCTATACAAACATGCACATAACCAAGCATCAGATGAGCTGGTCACCAGCATTATTGCACCACCTCATGTGATTTTGATTGAATTTTTAAGCCAGATAAGGAAAATTTGATCATGTAARGTTGAACCTGTTACCAGGTGTGGCAGGAAGGGTTCCTTTTATAAGCAAAGATGCCAAATGTTAGATGTGGTCAGAACCACCAACTGGTGCAGAAGAGGTCAGGCTGGTGAAAATGGGAGATGTAACAAAATTAGAAATAAATATACAGTAAATTGTGATTAAAAGACCAAAATATAATATGATAAATCTGGTCTGTGATGTCAAAATAAGAATAAAAAATGCAGGGAGATGTTTTTGAAGTCAGAAATGGACATTGCTGATAAGATTACACTTTTAAACCTTATACCAATTCCTGTAGTAACGCACAAGAAGAAGAGGARGGGGTGGGGTCCTCAGCTTAGGAAGGCAGGTTGTGAAAAATTACAGAGCCACGCATTATGTAAACATCTATTTTTATTTATGGTTTGGTCTAATCACTAACAAGATTTTTACCCTTCTTATTCTTACCCTCCATCCTCCTCCTCTGCAGGTAGTCCTGGGCCAGTACCGCTGGCTCTCCTATAAGGARGCCACCACGGCAGCAACCCAGCTGGGCAGTGGTTTGGCATCATTGGGTCAGAGACCAAAAACCAACATCGCTATCTTCTGTGAGACACGAGCAGAGTGGGTAATTGCTGCTCAGGCCTGCTTCATTTACAACTTCCCATGTAAGTTCAGGATATCTGCTTGAAAGTAGACTTTACATTAACTTTCATGTAAAATGTCTAAATCCAAAAGGGTATTCTGGAAACCTGAAAGCTGTCTGGTACCATTTCACGGGCTCTAATTTTACTCGAACATTAGGCAATAAAAGAAAGATATTGTTCTTGTTTCATGAAAACTTTAGCTGTGTCCTAATTCAGGGCTGTAGCCTACCTAGACTGCGGACCATGTAGGCCACACCCTTTGCAGTCCAGGTAGGCTGCATAAAATATATGTGAATTGAGACGTTTTAGTCTTCAGATGTTATATGTATGCATGACCACGCACTACCCCATTATAGTGATATGAGTTATATCAGGTGCCTTTAATTATAATGCATCTGGACATGTATTCACATTTCTTGTCTTTGGAGGAATAATTTCACAATTAAAACATACGTAAAAAAAAAACATAAGAAATGTGGGTTTAGCTTCGGTATCAGTTGCTAAGCATAAAGTTACTAAGCATACATTTAAAATCTAATTCTTCAGTCTGTGAGTATTTCCAAACTGACATAGTAAAAAAAAAAAAACAAACGCCATCTTTGTTTTCCTGTTTAATTTGCTGATGAGACAATAAGTCCTGGGATATCCTCTACCGGGAAGGATGTGCAGATGCAGCCTTCATTCTTGGGGTTTTGTGGGCTGCATTATGCTGCATGAAAAATAGCATGTATTGGGAAGGCCTTTGGCATGGGTGAGTGACATAAGCGGCCGAAAAAAGCAAATTTCGAAATTTCTGAATTGAGACACAGTCTTTGTGTATAGATCCAAGCTTTATGTGTAATTCAGATTGTTACAACAGCCAAGTGATGTACAAAGGCCTGTAGCAGAAACTAATGTTCATAAAAAGACAGTACAAGACAATACAGTATATAAAAAACACTACAGAAAAATTACAGAACACTACTCCCTTAAGAAGTAGTTTAGCTCTTTCTCTGTGTGTCGCTGGGGAGAGGGAGGTCTGTTTTTGTTCTGGACCTGCTGCGGCCCAACCACGAATAAGTGATGTACGTGGAGATTTTTGGCAACCCTAAAATAACTCTCTTATCCTCTTCATTTCTTGTTTTTTTTCCACAAATTGCTTCCAAATTTGTTTTAGGTGAACTGATTTACAGACTATTTTGCTTGTGTGTGTGTGTGTGTGTGCGTGCGTGCGTGCGTGCGTGCGTGCGTGCGCGCGCGCACACACATTGGTGGTTGCAGTGGTCAGCATGCACAGTCCAGCTGAGACAGAAGAAGGTCACTCTGTCCCCTCTGTTTTGATGTTGCATAAGTGCCCCATTTCTCTTCTTTCACACATTTTTTTCACATTTGTTTATGCATTTCTGCAAGTACCTTTTTATTTGACACAGTCTGCAATGATTTAACATAAGCAATTCTTGTGTTGCACGACATGAATTTCGTCAGGTAAGTAACCGCCTGTATGTACCAGGGTAAAGCTGATAAAGCTGGACACTGATTCTGAACAAGAAACTGTTTTACTCAACAAAAACAGCCTGCCGAGACTAATAGAGCTGCAGATTTCTGCCCTTAGCTCTTCTGGGCTGATTTACTCTTTAATATTTTCTGTGTCAACGGCACTTCATTAAATTGTTTTGATTGTTCATGAAGTAACTTTCATTTTGTCTGTGTGCTGTGGTTTAGACTCCATTAAACTGTCATGCCTTTAAAATACTGTGTCAGTACGGGCCAAGGAAAGCACCTTATGAAGTGTATTTCTTTCTTATAAACACAAACACAGGCAACAGTGGAAACGCCTGGGGCAGTGCATAACACATGGTGTGGAGGGGGAGAGGAATTAAAGATCGGAAAAAGAAACAGAGAGGAGGACATAGGACGAGGCAAGTGAAGGGTGATCGCGTCAGAAGAGGGGTGAGAGAGTCTACGTGAGCATCTGATGTTGACAGAGGCATCAGGGAGTCAGCCAAAGGCCCCCAATGAACCCAAACACTTCACTTGTGTGGATGTGTATTTCCACATGCATACTGATTTTGTAAATGTGTGCATGTGCTCATCAGATCTTTTGTGTCTTAATTAATTGAACAAAGGGTGTGATTCGCAACAGTTGCACAACAAGAAAATAAAGTAATTTTGACAAACTTAGCTGAAATGTGTGGAATGATGAAGTTAGAATAAATGTAGCCCAACAAGTTCACCTTTGAGGGTGTAGAGTCTGAAGACACGGGGGAAGACAAGTCCATTACCATGGCAGGAGTCACCAAGGTAGTCAAAAAGCTTCTGAGTGGCCAGGAGCCAGTTTTACCCTGAGATGCTGAAGGCTCTGAATGTTGTGGGGCTGTCATGGCTGACATATGTCTTCAGTGCTACATGGAGGACCGGGACATCTCCTGTGGGGTAGACCTGGGTGGTGGTTCCCATTTTTTGTAAAGGGGGACCGGAGAGTGTTTTCTAACTATTGTGGGATCACACTTATCACCTTCCCTGCAAAAGTTTACTCCAGATTGTTAGAAGGGAACCTCTGACTGATTGCTGAACCTCAAATTCAAGAGAAGCAGCGTGGCRTCTGTCGAGATCCTGCATACAAGGAGATAAATTGAACTTTCCTTGCAGGGTGATGAGCTCTGTCATCAGGGGTGAACTCGGAGTAGAGCTGCTGCTTCTTTGCATCAAAAGAAGCCGGTTGAGGTGGTTTTGGCATTGTGAGGTTMTGTGTTTTTGTGTTTTTTGTCATACTCTTGTGTTACCTTGTCATCATTACGCCTCTTTTTCCTTAGATTGTTTACTTCCTCCTCTGTCYCACACACCTGCCAATAGTTCCCAATTAGTGTTTTCATCAGCTGTTGTTCATCTCTTCATTTCCTCTGTCTGTATATTTTCTGGTTCAGTACTCCACACACTCACTGGTTCATTGTTTGGTCTTACCTACTGTTATGTTCTCCTTGTTGTTCTAGTTATTAGTTTTTCVCTTTGTTGTTTTTGCTGCCTCGACAGCTTTTGTTTTATTTTTGTTAAAATAAACATTTTTCTTTTTGCAAAACACTTTCTCCATCCAGATTTGGGTTCATACTCCTCGCTAAACGTAACAGAATGAACCAGTCAACTTCAGAACCCARTGGAAGAAAGAGGTTTTTTTAAGTTTATGGAGGAAAATAGTTTTTTGGCACAATTCAGTGATTGGGGGAAGAGTCTGACTCTGGTTGTGGCCAAGATTCAGCAGGTCCAATACCAGACCGCCATCCGAGTGTGTGGTTTCCAGATGGCACCTGCCCTGCTCCCCCAGAGACGTGAGCGCCGGGATCCTGAGGTRGAGGTCTTCCCATCCCCTCTTCTTCTGGAGGAAAAGAGAGCAAAGACGCAGTTTTAGGGAARTCGCCTGGCGCTGAAGCCCACTCCCACATCCGGTTCTTTTCAGCGCCACCGTCGCCAGCGGAGAAAGGCAGCGGTCCCTCCTGAGKCTGAATATGACCCCGACTATGACCCCGAGAGCGATCCCAACTGTCCCGAGAACATCGGCTACTGCTCTACCGGGCTGATGATTTTCAGCTCTCCAGTGCTGCCTCCACCTCTCCCGTCAGCATCTCCTCCGAGCGGGTCCCGGACACCTCCTCCAGTGTCATCTCCGAGAGGGTCCCGGARGCCTACTCCAGTGCCACCTCCAAGASGGCTACTGAGACCTCCAGCCTCCAACGCCTCAGAGAAAATCAATGCTTCCTCCTCCTGTGCTCTTCGCGCCTATGTGAGGATCGATGCCTCCACCTCCTGCACTCTTCGCGCCTACGAGAGGATCGATGCCTCCACCTCCATCCTTGCTCCCCAGAGGGTCGATGCCTCCACAGCCTCCTGCACTCCGGCGAGAGTCGARGCCTCTACAGCCACCTGCGCTTCGGCAAGGCTGGACGCTTATACAGCTGTCTACACTCCGGCGAGAGTCGACGCCACTACCTCCTGTGTGGYGGGTGTTAGGGGGGACGAGGTGGTGGTCACCACCCTGGCTMCTGTGGCACTGCAGCTCTYGTGGAGGTGTTGTKCACTCCTGCTGCAGCTCCAGAGCCTACAGAGTCCGAGTCAGCTTCAGAGTCTTCAGAGCCAGAACCAGCACTTGAGCCTACAAAGCCCCCGGGTCAGATTGTGATGTCCCCAGGCCAGCCTGAGCCTACTGAGCCCCCGGGTCAGATTGTGACGTCCCCGGGTCTGCCTGAGCACACTGAGCCCCGGGTCAGATTGTGAAGTCCCCGGGTCTGCCTGAGGCTTCCAAGGTCTCCATGCTGGTCTCTGCTCTTGAGATCTCCATGTTAGCTGGACCTGAGCTCTCATCATCTGCTGCAGCCCCACCTGAACTCTCCATGTCTGCAGCTGAGTCCTCGCCGTCTGCAGCTGAGTCCTTGCCGTCCACAGCTGAGGACTCCTTGCCATCTGCAGCTGAGGACTCCTTGCCATCTGCAGCCGTCTCCACCCCACCTGAGCTCTCACCACCAGCTGCAGCTGCAGTGTCTTCAGAGCCGGCCCCTCCAGAGTCTCCAGAGCCCCATCCTCATTGTGGCCYAGCTCCAGGTTGCCCTTCAGAGCCCCATCTTCATCGTGGCCGAGCTCCAGGTCACCCACCAGAGCTCCACCTCCTCGTGGCCAAGCTCCAGGTCGCCCACCGGAGCTCCATCCTCATCATGGCCGAGCTCCAGGTCGCCCACCAAAGCTCCGCCTCCGCTACGACCGAGTCCACGGTCGCCCTCCAGAGCTCCGCCTCCGCTGTGGCCGTGTTCACGGTCGCCCACCAGAAACCCTTCCTCGTCTGTGCTGGGTTCCTTGGTGCCCACCTGAACCTTCTGCCCTCTTCAGATGTGCCTAGGGCCATATCAGTGACTATTTTTGTTGTTTTTTCCCAGTTTTTTTCCTGTCGGTTTTTGGTTTCATTCTTTTTGTGTGTTTTTTGTTTTTCATTGTCTCGTTTCTTGCCCTCCATCCTGTGTTGTTGTTTGTTACCCCCGCCTCCCTCCCTTGTCTGTATC